AATTCCTTGTTTTGCTTTGCTTGTGTGTGCAGCTTTTGCTTTCTCTATTAAACTGCCTTTATCTCAACCCATGAGTTTTTGTCGCTTTTACCTTTCTGATTCGCTCCCCCATCCCCTTGGTGGGGGAGTGAGTGAGCGGCTGCGTGGTTCTTGGCTGCTGGCTGGGGTTAAACCACGACAGGTTGTCAAGCACTAGAACAGGCTGCCCAGGGCAGTGGTGGAGTCACCATCTTTGGAGGGATTACAAAGACATGTAGGTATGGACCTCGGGGACATGGTTCGGCAGTGGGCTCTGCAGTGCTGCATTCAGGCCTGGACTCAAAGATTTAGAGGTCTTTTTCAACCTAAATGATTCTACAGTTCTGTAAGAGATGAGTACAACTTCCAGCAGAGGGAGATCCCAGACAGATTCAAGTGCAATCTGATCTCCTCAAATGCATCCTCCTTTTTTCCCTGGAGTTTAGTATCATTAATTCAAATACCCTTGCTGACCTTCACATTAGATTGTCTATTATTTAAACTTTAAGGGTAACAGAAATTTCTGTACACTCATAGGCAACTTGCACTAAGCAACATTTTCAAATGCATGGTGTTTGCTTGCATTTCTGCAAAGCTGAAACCTTCTGAAAGGTCCCTACACAAAACAGAAACCAGCAAACCTCATGACTTATAGAATGCTAATGAATGTGACCATGGGGCAATACATAAATGTTGTTTCCAACAAACAAACAAAATTCTTTCTGAACATATCACAGCTTCCAGTCATATGCTGCTAGCCTATTGCATATTGGAGCACTAGTGGCTTATTGCAGTCTGGTAACCAATGCTGAAGCAAGAAATACAGATTTGTCACTAAAAGAGTGAACAAATTGAAATGCTGCTTCAGCTACAGCTGAAACAAATTATTATGAATCAGTCAAGTCTCATTCGAGATCCCAAATTGCTCTCACATTTCAAGACTTAGCTTATTTTTCCAGGTAATTTTGACATGCTAAATGGACTTTTACAAAATACATTAAATAATCTCTACCCCAAACCTCTTTGGATTAGTTTGCAGACCCTTACCAGCTTCCTCATAGAACTCCAAACTTTCTTCCACTGTAGCAGCAACACTTACCATGGCTTTTATAGCTGCAGTCCTAACACGAGGGTCCTGGTCATTAAAATGATCTCCTATTATCTTCTGGACATCTTTGGCAGCTTGGCTTTCAGTTTCTTTTGCAACACCTTTTTCCACTGGTCCAAGACAGCCAATTAACTGAAGACACTTATTTCTTACACCATGAGAAGAATCTGTCAGATGCTGCAGAACAAAAGAGCAGAGCAGATGTCACTGGATTCTTACTGTTCTTTCATCCCTTTGAAACAACTAATCACATTAAGTTTCCTGGTAGTTAAAAAATGTTAGTATTATAATAGTTTGTTGAGAAAAAAAAAAAAATTTCAATACTGACTACCTTTCTTTTTTCTCTCGAGGCAGAGACAAAAGTTTCCTGCCCCAGAGGGGCTGCCTTACCTTGCAGGCTACCTCTACCAGCCTCAACCTGACAGACGGATTCTCCGGGAGTTTTGTGCCGATCACTAACAGGGTATCCAGCAGCTGAGCAAGGACTTGGTGAGACTCTGCAAAACAAAACAGTGAAAGGCTACATACCTCTTTACTGAGCTCCTACCAGCTAAAGGATCACAGAAGGATCCAGGTTGGAAGGCCATCCTGAAACCTTATCCTTTCAAGGCCCGAGCAAGCCCAGCTCCCTCAGCTACTCCTTGCACATCATGTGCTCCAGTCCTCATCCACCGCAGAAGTTCCGCTGAACTCAGGAACCTTACCAGCACTAATCTGGCACTGATGAGTTCAAAACTGGATATGGTATTCCATATGTGGCCTACCCAGTGCTGAGTAAAAGGGAGTAACCCCTTCCTTGACCTGCTGGCTATACTCCTGTTTATACAGCCTGATGAGCTGGCATGGTATGAAAAACTCCTCTTCAAACAGGATCCCTCTTTAAGCAAGAGTGTCATGTAGAACAGAGAACTTTAGAAACAGGTGCAACTCTCACATAGAGATGCAAAAACTAACTTTGCACTCCCTTAAAACAAAGACAGACAGAAGGTCGGTCTGAAGAACATTTTCCTCCTCCGCAGAACATGGCATTGTCTGTCGCCATTCACAAAAACAGAAGATAAGTGCTCTGAGTAACAATTCCCAATCACACCCCTCAGGTGTCAAGCCTTGCCACTCTCCTAAATGCTCTGACAGCATGATTTTGCCTTGATCACAGAATCATCAAGGCTGGAGGAGACCTCTAAGATCATCCAGTCCAACCACTAACCTGCCACCTGCCTAAACCACATCCTCCAGTGTCAGATCCAGATGCCTCTCAAACACTTCCAGGGATGGTGACTCCAACACCTCACTCAGCAACCTATTCCAGTGACTGACCACCCTAACAGGGAAAATGTTTTTTCTAACCTCTAATCTGAATCTCTCCTGTCTCAGTTATGACTATTCTCTTTAGTCCTCTCACTGCAGGCATGGCAGAAGAGACCAACCCTCAACTCTTTACAATCTCCTTTCAGGTAGCTGTAGAGAGCAATGAGATCACCCCTGAGCTGCCTCTTCTTAAGGCTAAAGAAACCTAATTTCCTCAGCTGTTTTTCACATGACATGTGTTCTAGACCTTTTCTGAGCCTCGTTGCCCTTCACTGGACTCAAGCACCATGTCAAAAACAAGACTTACTCTCATTTTGAAGTGTGTTGATGGCATCATCCATAATGCAGTCTGGGGAAAATCCTGCAGTCTTTGACAACAAGCCCAGCAAGGATGCAATCTTCAGTCTTACAGAGGCATCATTCTCCTGGAAGGAAACAACACATGTCCTCACTCATTTTACAGCTTGAAGAGCACACAACACTACACACAGGCAGGACCCACGTGGAATTCAGCACAAGGGTCTGAATTCTACTATCAGGCTACTTCCTCCTCCACATGTCCACAGCAAACCCCACAGAAAACGAACCATGCACATTTCAAAATTATTCTTTTACTCATAATTCCTCAAAGTTACCTTCACACTGTTCAAAAATTTCAAGTTTAATAAATTAGGTTTTCAATGTTGATAATGTCAGTATCTTTGCAAGTTTTTAATGAAGCAATAGGAGGACTTTAGGAGACAAAGTGAGACTGCTGGTCTCTTCACCTCTGCTAGGCAGCATGCCCTGTGGGTTACAGAAAACAACTGTTTCTCCTAATGGTGGGGAGGAATCCTGCCAATCCCCCAGAAAACAAAACAAAATCAAAAAGCAATAAAACCCCAAACAAACAAGAAAAATCCAAACAAAAAAAGCCCAACACAGCAAGGCTGAAGGAAAAAAGAAAAGCAGCAGATATTACCTGCATACATCTACTCATTTAAGTAACAGCAAAAGCTGCCACAGGTGATAATCCCATAAATAAGCTTCATCAGTTAATACTCCTTTAAAATTAATTTTAAAAGTTCATGCCTTTGAAAGAGTTATTTTGAGGCTTCTGCAGACTCATGCACACAAGATGTTTGGTCATAGCTGGAAGCTCCCTCTTTCAGTGTGTTGCCAAAGATATCCAATACAGAGTAGAAAGACAAAAAGTCATCTGGATTTCATACTGAGATCTTACCAAGCAGTTATGCAACACTGAACACAGAGGTGCAGAAATATTACAGAAACAAATATTCCATCTTTCAACAAGGGTAGAAATTTTACAGGTACAACTTTTACATCTTTTAGCAGTGTTTAGGAGAGAGACTTCAGCGTCATACACACCATCCAAGTGACAAATGTGACACCAAAGGGAGTAGTCACTTTCTCAACAGAGCTGATTTATGTCTTTTCAGGGTCAAAGTTATGTGCCTGAACAACAGGTACCATCATCAGACTGCTCACATCAGTGGCAGGATTCATGGATTTCCACAATACTGGGGTGTTTACACAGTTGGTGATGTGACTCACGTTCTTTTCACTAAAGGACAACACTCTCCATGAGCACAGATGAAATCCTTGATTCAGGACAGGATACTTACAAAGCCACTTTTGTAACACCACAGACATTATTCATAAGGCTATTAATCAAGTTATAAGCAGCCTTCCACCCCAGGGGGTAATTTTCCCTCCTCCTAGTGGCTCATGAGCAGGAAATTAGTGAAAGTTCTCCTTTAACTTTGCACGTCTGATCACTGTCACCACAGCCAAAGCACCAGCAAGTGAAGGTGCCTCGAACCCCTCGTCCTGACCACTCTCAGGAATCTGGAAAGGACTTTCAGGATCACCTCAGGCCACTGTTTGAAAACACACCATCACTTAGAGCAATACCAGCTCGCAGTATTCCATCTCCCAGCTTTCCCACACACACCACAACAGGCTGCCTGCTCAGCTGTGTTGATTCAACAGTCAGCAGCGCTATGTGAACAACAGGTGGGAAAACAGAGAGAAAAGCAAAAGCCAGGTTATTTTTCTGATCCATTTCAGAGGCCATCGGGACTGGATGGGGACTGTCCTATCAAAATATAAAGGGATGCAGGAGGCTGCAGCACTATCCTGAACACAACAATGACACTTACAAACAAATAAATCACCGCACAACTTCCACTGCAGTTACAGCTTTCAGGTCAGGTTTCCGAAAGATCAGGGCAAGTGCAAGTGTTATGGAGATACTAAGAAACCAGTTCTTCTGAAAACTTTGGCCTTCACTAAAATAATGTCAGCTACAGGACTGCAAGACTTCTTAAAGGCTGGTTTCTATAACAGGCTGTGCACTTGCAAATGTGACTGAGTGCAGATTTAAGAGTCTGTCTTCTAATAGAGGCTACAACACAAACCTAAAGCACAAATAACCTGTGTCACTTGATCAGGAACTCTGTATTTCACAGAACCACAGAATCATTTAGGTTGGAACAACCCTCTAAGGTCATCGAGTCCAACCTTAACCCAGCAGTGCCAAGCCCACCACTAAACCATGTCTTCAAGTGCCACATCTACACATCTTTTAAATCCCTACATAGATTCCACTGGGTTTGTTCAGCCTGGAAAAGGGAGGGTTTTGGGGTGACCTAATTGTGGCTTTCCAGTACCTGAAGGGAGCCTACAAGATAGATGGAGAGAGACTATTTACAGGAGTAAGCAGAGACAGGACAAGGGGGAATGGCTTGACACTGGCAGCAGACTGGCTTAGATTAGATATTAGGAAGAAATTCTTTACTGTGAGGGCAATAAGGCACTGGTACAGGTTGCCCAGAGAAGCTGTGTATGCCCCATCCCTGGAAGTGTTCCAGGCCAGGATGGATGAGGCCTTGAGCAACCTGTCTAGTGGAAGCAGTCCCTGCCCCCACAGTGGGGTTGAAACTAGATGATCTTTAAGAGCCTTTCCAACCCAAACCATTCTGTGATTCCATGATTTTAGAAGTGCTTTTTTTTTCACAACATTATCAATAGCTAAAATGTTTCTCCACTGCTAGAGGTAATTAAGAGCAAGGCAAGGAGCAAACAAGACCAGAAGGAGCAGGCAGGCTTGGCTCCCAGCTTCACCACCTTGTAATAATGTTCCAGCAGGATCCTGACAACCCCTTCCACACTCTCCACTTCCACGGGCTTCCTGGCAAACTGCAGCAGGTACTGCAAGGCATCTGCAGGCGAGGTGGCTTTGCACAGGTCAACATGAAGTGCCGCTGACTTGCTGGGCTTGGTCAGACGCAGCTTCTTAGTGGACAGGTCCTCATGCTGCTGCTGTGGGCAGATGGACAAGGCTCAGAGCAAACCCTGACACCTCCTCCCCACACGGAAGCCTAAGGAAGCTC